TACTTATGTGCCCACTATGCTATGAACTTGGTATCATTTTTTTAATCTTCATTTCCACAACTGTTACTTCAACTCACATTATCATTAAAATTTTCATCACTGGGGCACAAGAGTGGCTAAGTCAGTTAAACATCTGACTCTTGGTTTCAGCTCAGGTCATCGTCTCACGGTTTACCAAGTTCAAAGTCCGTGTCAGGCTCAGCTCAGAACCTGCTTCAGATCCTCCGTCTCCCTCTCCATTTGCCCCTCCCCTACTTATTTGTGCTCTCTCTCTCTCTCTCTGTCCCAAATAAAATTAATAAACTAAAATAAAGTTAAAAAACTTATCACTTCTAAATTTTAATAACCTCAAAACTGATACCTCGTTTACCTTTATTCTAGTTAGAAACACCACATATATTGCTTTCAAAATCCAATGGCTTTCTCTTGCCTTCATACTAAATTTAAACTCTGTCTTTATTTCAAGATCTTCTATAAGGTGAACTAGCCTACAAACCCAGCACTAGTTTACTCTTCCCAGGGTATGCACTCAATTAGTCACTGTCTTTTCTGTCATTCACTGTTCCACACCATCCTCTATATTCCTTTTGCACAACCACCTCATTCCTGATGCTGTGCCTTTACACTGTTCTCCCTTCCTAGAATGCCACCTCCCTTTTCATTCCTAGTTTAGTTACATCTCTTCTATGAAAACATATGAGAGCACACTGACTCATTTCCTTCCCCTTCACAACTTTAAAAGTGGTATAAAGTTATAGTATACTTATATGCTCATTGTTTTATGTTTATAAATCTTGATTTATGGGAGAAACTATGCTTATACATTGTTTGTATCTTCCACTGTACTAGTACAGTTCAGAGTATATAGTAGGAAGTCAGCACATATATGTTACCTTGTTAGTTTCTTTCTTGGTATAATTAATTAGTTAATATACTAAGTATACTAATACTTACTGGTTAAACATTCTTTGCCAAGTGTTTTCTGAGTATCTGATATTCATTATGTGATTTATCTCTCACATCAACTCTATAAGCTCAGTTTTATTTAGTCTGAATTTGCAGATGAAAGAACTGTGACTTGGTTTAGTTGCCCAAGGTCACTAGTTCAGAACTGCTATTAGAATTGAGGTTTGCCCTATTTTTAACTGTTCCAGTGGAAGAGCACTAAAAGTAGAAAACCATGGGTCCTTGAAAGAGCTAAAGAGACAAAGAATGTGGGTTTATGGAGCAATTTGAAACGAAAATGAGTTACTTACATGCATGTGTGTGTGTGTTTGTGTGTGTATGTATATGTATACATGTACATGGACACATGAGCACCAAGAAGATACTAAGTAATAAGTGGATAGATTCCACTGATTATATGATTTTTTTATTTTATATGGTTTTTATTTTATATTATTTTTTCTTAAAAAAATCATTGTCTGGGGTGCCTGGGTGGCTTAGTCGGTTGAGCATCCAACTTTTGCTTAGGTCATGATCTCGCGGTTCGTGGGTTTAGGCCCCGCGTCGGGCTCTGTGCTCACTGCCAGCTCAGAGCCTGGAGCCTGTTTCGGTCTGTGACTCCCTCTCTCTCTGTCCCTCACCTGCTCATGCTCTCTCTCTCTCTCTCTCTCTCTTAGAAATTAAAAAAAAAAAAATTGTCTGAAATAGGTATAGGGATGAAGGAAGAGAAAGGGAATAGGACCACAATATTTTAAGTAGTATAAAGAGTGGAAAACCTAATGATCTGTGGAGTTGGGGAATTTTAGAGATTGGAGCAAGAGTTTCAAGATAACAGTAAAGTTATTCTGCAAGGCAAGACAGTTACTCTGTTAGTTCGGTTAACGTAATGAAATGAGTGCTCTATTTAAGAGCTTTAGCTTTCTATGTTTACAATCTCTCAATTTATTTCTGATGTTTAGAATAACTTAACTGCGCTCCATAAAAGAGTATTTATCATAATACATCATATTTAATTCTGGTTTTATCAGCAGTCTTTTAATGAAAAATGTTAGCCAGATTTTTGTTTAAAAAAATTATGTAGTTAATATATAGATGGGGTGCCTGGATGGCTCAGTCAGTTAAGCATCTGACTCTTGGTTTCAGTTCAGGTCATGATTTCACAGTTTGTGAGTTTGAGCCGTGCATCAGACTCTGTGCCATCAGTGTGGAGCCTGCTTGGGATTCTCTCTCTCTCTGTCTCTCTCTCTCTCTGTCTCTCTGTCTCTGTCTCTGTCTCTCTCTCTCTCTCCCTCTCTTTTTCTCTCTCCCTCTCTTTCTCTCTCTTGCCTTCCCCCCATCTCTGCCCTTCAAGCTCTCTTTCTTTATCAAAATAAATAAATAAGCTTAGAAAAGAAAACATATAGATGCACAGTTATTGATGTATCTACAATGGGGAGTGGGCTCTCTAGTTCAGGGAGTGGGCTTGCTACTTCAGATGGCCTTCTAGTTGCCACGAGATTCTGTGACCCTTCTCTCTCAACAAGATCAGCCAGTGGTTCCATATTATTCTACTTGATTTTCCTTCAAGAACATGTAATAAGTGAAATAAAATAATAATCACCTCTTGAGTCCCTTGCTTTAAAATTAGCATGCACATTTTAATGCATGGACAAGTGAACTTAATTTTTTGAAAGATTGAACTAAAATAAGTCAGAGTAGCATTTTTTTTTCTTTTTGGCAAGTTGCCCACCCTTACATAGTAGCCAGCTCTGAGGATCACTGTCAACTTTTTTAAAACTACTGAAATTTCTTTTAGCTTGTGAGTTAGGCCCAAATTAGGACCCACAAGTATTAAAATTTCAAGTTTATTTTATCTGTGCAGACTTGAAGTGTGTTAGATCCTCTAAGCCTTGAGGCCTTTTTCATGCTTCCATAATATGATGTAAATATAAGAAGCACATATATTTCACACAAAATAAAATGTATTGGATATAGATATTTCCTACTTCCATACTTTGGTGAAGTAGGAGAAAGCCAAATATGAGGAACGGGGCGATATGAGAGATTGAAAGAAATGAAGAGCTACCCTATATTAGACATACTCTGACTAGCAGCTCCTGACATTTTCATCATAAATTACTTTAACTCTCTATATTGTATACAAGTACCAGTAAGGTTGGTGATACCATACTATTCTTATAAAAATATTTAAATGGGTCCACCTATTTTAAAAACTTAGGGTTTTTCCTTTTTCCACTCAAAAGCATTTCTTAGTACAGTTTAATTAAGATAAACCATAATTTTATATTTAAAAGATAAAATTAACATGTTTATTTGAATAATCAAAGACTGTTTATGATATTCTTTATTCCAAATATATGTCATCTCCAACCTTTACATTCAATAAAGTGTTTCAAAATATATTTATACTTGTATTTTTAATGGTAGCTCTTATACATCTTTGCAAGTTTTGAGTCTGTCTATACAGATTAATATTTGAACATTGAATCACATTTTTGAGTGACTGGTCCATCCATTTAATTATCTAAATAACTCAAATAGTCAATAATTGTTTCAAGTTATGAAATAATTCTTTAATAATCAAAGTAAAATCTTGAATAATTACTTTGTTCACATTTGTTTATCTACAGATGTTAAAATGTCCCATGTCAATCTTTAGTTGTTATGAAACAATCCTCTATTTACTGTATTCTAAACCAGTAATATGTATTGTTAGCCTGTAGGCATAATACCCACTGGAACAATTTTTAAAGACAAGGTTATAATATATAATATAGTATTACATTTATAATCTATAATATAGCAATCCAGACAATTTTTAAAAATATTCTTAAAATTCTGTGTATGTAATTCAATACATGTACTTTAGTGGACAAAATTTAAATTTGGAAAGCGGTATCTTGGGATATTGGTTGTTTTCTTAATCACTCCATAAACAGTTTAGGGTGAGGACAGCAAAAACTACTTTTTTGAATTGTAGAATATAATGCAATGATTTTTAACACAAGTGTGGGAAATGGGTCAATTCTGATACTCAAAAAAAAAAAAAAGATAAACTCCCAGTCATCATGTTATTTTTCTTCCTCACCAACTGAAATAAAGAATAATATAATTATTCCAACACACACACACACACATAATATCTTTCCCATCCAGATCTTAAAATTTTCACAAACTGATAAATGAAGATGAAAAGAGAATTAATCTAAACATTTGATTTGACTATTTGAATCTAAAACAGTCTCTCCTTGTTTTAAGATGCTGTATCATATGACGATTATTATCAAAGTGAAATTTTCTTATTAAATTGATTAGTTGAAGAATATTTTAGTGGTTGTTTAATAAGAATTACTATGCAGTGGCATAGTGGAAGAGTGCATGTTTTAGACAGTATTCCTTAAAACCCTAATCCTCAAGATAATTTCAGGTTTGTCTGTGTTTATATATCATGACATAAAGTGGACTTCTGGCAAGCATCCAGTTAATTTTATCAATGTAGGTAGACTCACCAGGTAATGCTTCAAATACTCTCCTTCCATTCTCTCTCAATGGCTTGTTTGTATTTCTACACAACTAATGATTAGAAAAAAAATTTTTACGGGTGACCATTACAACAAGTAAAAAAAAAAAGCCAATTTAGATAGTAAGAAAATGACTTTGTATATGAAGCTGCATTCTTTTGTAACACACTGTGTACGTTTTAAAATAGAGCAAGAAGAGTTCTTGACCAAATATTATGATATACTTGTCTTCTCTAGCCATTGAGAAAGAATAAACACAAATGACTATTATTTGCTTGGAGTCCCTGGACATCCTAAAGCTGAAATCCCTTGTATGTGGTATCTGTCATTTCTCCCCAGGGAAGTAAGTCATGAAAGTTGAGATGACAATTTCTTTCTTTAAATGTTCCAGGGCGGTAAACAGGAATACTCACAGGAAAACTGTCACATCTGAGTACAGGTACTTTCTGAGAGGTGCGTTTATTTTATTACTGATAGTCATTTCTCTCTCTCTCTCTCTCTCTCTCTGTTTCTCCCTCCCTGTTTCTTCTGTAGCAGTTATATGCTGCCCAGCTAGCTGCAATGCAGGTATCTCCAGGAGGGAAGCTCCCAGGCATCCCCCAAAGCAACCTCGGTGCTGCTGTATCTCCTACCAGCATTCACACAGACAAGAGCACAAACAGCCCACCACCCAAAAGCAAGGTACCTTTTTGAAGAAGCTACGTGTCTCGCCATTTACAGTTTTACTTTTCATTCAGTGACATTTATTGAATATCTATTATGTGCCAGCGATCAGGTTAACCTCTGGGTCTTGAAGGAGATAAGAGTCTAGTAGGGTCAAGAAGGATCAATAACGTACATATATTGAGCCATTCATTTATTCAACAAACATGCATTGATAGCCATAGTTGGAAATGTGAGTGATGCACAGATATATAAGATAGACATGCTGTAGTCATGTAGCTTGCAGTCTTATCAAATAGATACCCATACTCTGTGAAACAAAGCCTTATAAAAAGTTACAGATAAAGCGCATTGGAAGTTATTAAGACAAACAGATTACTTTCAACGAAAGATCCTGGAAGGGGTTTCCCAAAAAGGGGGCAACTGAAATAGACCTTAAAATATGAGTACAGATAGGGCATAAGAAAATGTTTTATTTAAATATCAATAGCTGCTATAATGTGGTGCAGTGTGAATATAATTTTAGATATGTCATCCACCCAATAAGATTTTCATGAAAGATATAAAGGTAATAACAGTGTTAGAAATAGGACTATTTTAGAAATAGTTTTCTTTTGGGAACGAAGGAAACATTTCTTGAGAGAATATGGACAAGGATTGGCCGGGGGAGGATTCAAATAATTTATTCTTTGTCTTAGAAGAGAGAAGCAGAAAAATTTGAAGCTGAAATGGTTTTGTGTTTATAAGACCTCAAGGTCTTAGATGAGGATATGTGAATATATTATACTTTCTGTGAAAGAAGACAGAAGAGTGACCATAAAGTATTTTTTCCTGAGATTACTTAGGGAAATAACAACACATATGTTCTATTAGAAAACGTTGTATAAAAAACTGACACAGTTAATTTATCCCCCCCCCCAAATAACAACTTTTGCTGACTTAGCTGGAATATTGTTTGAGTTCTTCATTTCCCAATGCCACATGAAAATACTGGAGGGAGTAGTGTCAACAGTTGAAAAGAATACACAGAAAAAAAAAAAAATTCAAGTACTGAAACAGAAAGAAACACTAAGAATTTGTTTTTAATCCTGCTCTGGTACCCTGACAGGTGCCTTTCACAGTTAATGTATTAATTCAGAAGGTGAGTCGAGAAAGAGAAGGGATCAGTTGGGAAAGTATACTCCAGCCTCCATCTTCCCCAAACTCTTAAGGGCCATTTCCATATTATTAAGAGGTAAATACATTTGAAAGCACAACTTAACCTGGATAAGGAACTTAGACCATAATTAACCTGCACTATGTGCAGATATATAGTTCCAATTATTGTACACATGGCTGTGATATGGGGAAATGTACAAGCACACCTTTAAGAACTATTTCAGCTGTGTAATGGACCTTACATATGCTGTGCCTAATGTACACCCAAAATCTGGTCTGCTTTTCTTTATAATCACAGTAGAGCATAGGTTTTAAACTTTGATAATAATTATAACATTTGTTAACTTAAATTTAATTTTAAGGCAGTGATATTTTGAGGTCTTCATGGACTAGCAATTGTGATATATTGCATGAATGGACTAATTTTGAATAAAATAAATAGCTGTAGCAGCATAGTCACCATCACACACAAATAATTCCATGAGGTATTATTCTCTGTTTTCCCCCCTGGATTTATTAACATGATTTCACACCGTGTTTCATAATGATGCTTGCATTAAGACATTTCATTTTATGATTTTAGACTATATAGTTCACTTGTTAAATAACTACTGGGTTTTTTTTTAATTTCTTCTAGATTAACTTTTTATCATTATTACCTTCTCCCCAATTTACTTATTCAAATAATCATGAAGCTTTTGATGTCAATCAACCTCATCCATTTATGCATCTCTTCATTCATTCATTCATTCATTCAATCATGCATCCATTCAAATGTTTACTGAGCAATTGCTACAGTGATACTTTTTTTGGTAACCATGGAAAATGCAAAAGTGATTGAAGGTTTGCTTTGCCAAGACTAGAACACTGCTTTATGAGTTCTATGGTTCTAGATATTCATAGAACCCTATATAGTGGGTGCCAAGCAGACTTATTATCTATCTCAGTGATAATCTTCTGCCATTTTCTATAGTTTAATAAACTTCCATTTTTTTAGTGCAAGTGAAAAAGTGGATTATGTTTCTATACCTATGATTATGCATAATTTTAAATATATTTTGTGGATTATTTTTAGAACTTAGTATAACTTTTTAAAAACTAGCTTCCTTGAATTTTCTATCATGTGAAGTTTAGGAAAATGGTCGATATTGTGTTTCTTCCCATTTGTAATTGTGTAAAAGACATTAAAAGTTGAACAAACAGTAGAGTGCCTCTTTTTAGGTAATAACACAATTTAATAAAAATATGTTCTTTCTCTACTCACTGTCCTCTAACACACTGTCTACAACCACTCTTACTATCAGTAAAGATGTCTTAAATGTGCTTGTATTTTAGCTCAGCCGTGAAGGTTAGTGCATTAAAAATAGTCAGACCAAGAAATACCACTGTTATTTAAATGAAGAACATGGTCAAAAAGATACAACCAATAGTAAATAAAGAGGACCCATTTCAATGCATGAATTTAGTTTCTTGCAGCGTGAAACTGATATTTACACATGGCATTATAAACATTTTCACTTCACAAAGCTGTTTTATTTATATAGAATAAATATAACTATCATTTATTGTCCTATTTATACCTTTAAACAATCAATTCTTAGTGCCCTATGGGTATTTCCTGCATGTTTTATTGGTGAATTTCACATCTATTTTACTATAAAATAAAATTATCTTATTAATGGTATTTATGTGGCTATATACCTACCTGGCATAAACCAAGTAGATGGTTTATGTTGAAGGCATATTTATTGTTTGGAACAATGAAATTGTCAGCCACATCCAAGTGATGATGTAAGGAGAATGATCTTATTGGCAGCTGTCAAAAATCAACCATGTTCTCTGGGTTTTATTGCCTGCCCTTCTTCCTAGGTGTGCCTTTGCCTTTGACTCACAACTCTAGAGAAGGACACAAACAAAACTTATTTGCAATTTGCAAAAAATAGAAGGGGGGAATCAAAAGGAGGGGGCACCAAAAGACTGTAAAATTGTACAGCATGAGTCCTCTGATGCATGCTGTTTTCAATCTGCTGTGTGCCAGTTGGAGGCTTGGGGAGTGTGTGCGCGCACGAGAAAGGATAATGCTGAGAAATGATAGAGTGGCTGTGACCTCCAAGCTCAGCCTGGAAATCCAAGACATTGATTTCACTTAGCATTCCTGCTGAGAAATCTGGCGGAGTTCAGTTGTAATAAAAGAACAAGATTCTGTTCTAATGGTAATGGCGTATGACAGACATATCACTTTGTCTGTCCTCAGCACCAGAGAGAGGAGAATTGGAGAAAGGTCACCTGACCTGCCTGTGGTGTTGTACGAGTGCTGTACTGAGCTTTGAACTGCTGCCTAGGAACATAATTATTTATAATATTAAATGATAAAGAAACCTTTAGAGGGTTCACAATGAACCTTTAAAAAAACTGCAAACAGTAATCGTGTTCTGTAAATATGAAAACACAAAAGGAAATCTGGTCTCTTCAAAATCTGCATTGGAGAATATGAGTAGTGTTGCTTGTTGAGTTATATGTCCTTGAACTTACTGCTTATGGACTGTTTTCATTAATACGTGACATATTGTCAGTGGGTAATTTTTTTTTAATGCCTTGATTTTATTAGGCAAAAGCCAAGAAATCTATTTTGCCAATGATAAGAAAATTAAGGTCATCAGCAGGATTTTTTTAATTTCTCAGGTGTTGCATAAAAAGAAACCCTTTTTAATACATGTACACTTGTTTCTTTAAAAATTAGCTTTTCTCCCCTCTGGATTCTACTCCAGGACCATTCTTTTCATTAACTAATGAAAAGAAATATATTTAGCTCTTCAGAGCTATTTTGTAGCTTGTGTGTGTCCTTATAACTAGCATATTGCTAAATATTGGTAAATAACTGAATGAAAGTATGAAATTATGAATTTTTCTGTACAAGAGATCCCATTTAGAGGAAATTTTACAAATACTTCCACCTTACATATTAAGGAAAATTATTCAGTTAAGTTATTGTTTAGCCATATTGGTCCTTAAATACAGTATTGCTGCTCTGAATCTGTTTAAATTCCTTAGCAAATATTTAAATTGATTTGTGTATAGTTTAGCATTTTGTCACAGGATGGATTAATGTATCAGTGACTTTCATTTTAACACCAACATATTCCATTACTTAAATGACTTTCTGAACTATTTGTTGCAGTCTTTTAAAAACCTAGATAGCCTTTCCTATGTGATAGTAACTGATCTCTTGATTACATTTGTTTTTTAAGAACAATTGATTTCCTTTAAAAATAATAGACACAGTGTCAGCCTTAAAATAATTATCTTAGGAGGAAGATTATTTTTACTCAATTTCACACACCACTCACACAATTGTTGATAATGAATAGACATTATAATTCCATGCTACCAAGAAGTTCTCATATGTCACAGATGTGCTGACCACCTGAGTTTTGCATCTAAGTGATTTGCCATTGTAAAAGTAGCCACCTCTTGGGAAAATTACAAGAGCAACTTGCAAATACTATGAAATGTCTCTTGGCATTTGATGAAAACTTGTATATTGCCTACAACAACCAAGAATAGTTAGTTTGAAAAGCCGGTTACAAGAAAGAATTCCTGGGTGCTTTTCTTTTACCTTTGCTATGACCCTAGTCATACTCCTCCGTCACAGTTGTGTCTCTATCAATGACAGGAGCACGTAAGTTGTCTGAATCAATTCTTTTTTGTTCTTTTCAAATACTTCTAACAGTGATGTTCCCATTTGCTCAGCAGTGGCACCTGGGAGTTATGACAAGGGAAAGAAATATTTTCCAACAAGGCAGAAACAGCCCTAGCCAGCTGATCAGACACAATCAGATTCTTTCAGCTGCAATATCCTT